GCACACCTTGAAGACAATAGGAACGTTTACCTTGTAAACGGTGCTCCCGTCTAATATCTATTGCAGCACAAATTTGGGAAACACCGGTCCATTTCGAAGCCTTGCCCCTGTGGCCACGCCCACCCGGGTATCTAAGTGCACGCACCCCACTATATTCTTCTGACTCATCGAGAGTTAACATTATTAGACAAAATTTCCAAAGCTCGTCTCATTCTAGTGTCTTTTACGAAGTTGAAAGTATTCAGTCACTGAAAAGGCAAAGCTAGTTATGGACTTGGAGAAATCTCGAACTTCCGAGGCTGAGCTGGCGTCACAACTGGTCGTAACGCAACGTGAATTAGAGCAATGTAGAAGCAAGTTGAGAGCTTTAGGAGCCTTAGTGAGTTTGTATAACTTTGGCTATTCTCTCGTTCCTCTACGTTCTCTCTCCTTTCAGCGATGAAGATTCGCGCGGAACTCGTTCTCGGTGATATTGTTACTAGCAAACTGGTGAACTTGTTTATTGTTTCGGGTGAAGTATTCCCATGCTAAAATCGCTATATGCCTTCCGTATTTATTGCTGCCAGATTAAATAGGAGAATAAAAAATTTACTTCTAGACAATGCTTGTTTTTAGCTGTTTACCGAGTAATACGTGGGTACTAAATACCACTGGTGACAGGAATTTATGTAGCGTTGTTCGTTACGTATCAAGGGCGTATCAGGCGAGATGAGTATAGCGCGGCGGCAAGATTGAATAATATCTTTCGTATCAGTCTTTTCCACCAATTATTGCCTTTTACCCGCTTCAAAAACTGGAGGAACCCGGGTTTGGCGCTGCGCATCCCGCCTGATACGCCTTTTAATCCGCAGCGAACAAGTATGTACTTACAGTTAGAGCCTCCACAGCAATCTAACGCCTGATATCGTTAAATATCTTGGTATCTCTCAAAATTTCGGGGTTCCTGGAGCTTTGAGTACAGCGACACAGATAGGGCCGCGGCGGTCATATATTACGACTCTGGGAGATAAGAGAATCATGAATTCCAAAGAATCTGCGATACAGGAAATGTACAAATCGATGTGAAGAGTCGGGGAATTGGAAATAAATTGGATGCTCATTGATAGACCCCGTCACAATGAAGATGGGAGATCGTTCGATATCTTTACAGCAGCTTTTTAGCAGTTTCTCCAATCCTGGAAAATGGGCTCAAGGACAATCTGTACATCACCTTTGTGGATCCTGCTACTTGTCCTGTGTGGGGAAACGGGTAGTGAGCTAAACTATCGCGCCATTTTCAAAAGTGTACGAGAAGGGGCTGGAGGGAAGCGATACCCAACTATTACGCTCGCGCTGGTGCACGGCCAGCCACGCGCCTAACCATGGCCAAACGCGCTGCTCGTCTGCGCCTCTCACTTCTGGTTGTTCTCTATCCGCTGTGTGCGTGTTTCGCTGCGGAACCGGATCGGGACGCAAACACTGCACCTTGGAGATAGCGTGTGCGGGGCATAGAGACGGCACTCAGGTACCGCTTTATTACACCCTCGTTCCTGTGCACTTATGAGTGAAGAAGGTGGCAAGTTACTGCATTCTGGAGATTGAGGTCAAATCCGGTCCTTCTTTCCGCAATTTCATCATTTACCCTGATTCTGCTGTTCTCCACTGTGATAAGGTGTGGATCGGTCTAAGGAACAACATGTGATGTGTGGGCACGCTCTTGATGTGTTCGGCACTGGCTCGTAAAAAGTTCGCTTTGTAATTACAGATAGTAGTGTCACAACGAAGTTTCCGGGGAGTGATACTTTTGGAGAGCAGGGCACATCGTTGTTGGGGAATCCCCAATAGGGAGGGGGTCGTATGGGCTGAGAAAAATTTATTTTGATAGTTGATTTTTCTCGCTTCATGGACGTTGTAAAGGGAGAGGGGGGGTCGTATTTGATCATTTTTGTGGAGCGGGTATTTACGTTTTGACGTTGTGGGAGTGGCCGGTTGACCTTTTCGTGATTTTTCCCATGTTTCACGTACATAGCGCACCCTCCGATCGGCTCGATCGAATGAGGAAGGACAGAGGGCTGGGGGGGGGGGTCGTACCAACTCCCAAAAAAGGGGGGGGGTCGTATAGAGTCGACTTAAATCCCCAACCAATGATGTGCCCTGTTTTGGAGCAGTGTCAAGACTGCTCTGCTGGAACCGCAGAAGAGTGAATGTAAGTGAGACTCCATAGTATTATACCAGTGTAATATTTAATACCCTACTCTTCCCTTTACCACATACTTGAGCTCGCTTCAAATAGGTTTGTACCACACTTCAGTTGCTATTATTCTATCCAGGAGAACAGGAGAGTCAACGAAAATATTACTGCATTGACTTGGCAAAATTCAAAGTGCTTTAAAAAATTTCTTCCAATATTTTTGTGACGATCACTCCTCAGCAATCTGAGTCTGCCTTAGCTGCTATGGAATAACTATCCTTATGGGAGCCTCGTCCTGAATGACGAAGCAGGCTCCGGGACTCTACAATACTACGATGGCACCTATTAAGCTCTTCAGTTCAAGTGAATTTCAAGTCCTGAGCTTCTTCTGAAACCTAAGCAAGGAGATGGGGAGAACTCTCGTAGAGGGTGCTCCATCTCAAGCCGATAAGCATATCAACACTGCTTGTTTTCTATTTGAGGTCGATCGCTAAGCCGATCCCATTGTAGTACAACATGAACAGCCTGAAGAGCGGGCTCATTCCCTTCCAGCATAAGAGCGTGTTCACTTATCGCGATCCAGTTCGCAGGCGACTCGCGAGTCTGGGAAGCCGCGCTCCAACAGGCCGCCTCGACTGATTGTGACGCTATCAGCTCTAAGACCGCATCTTGCATCAGAGTTTGTACCCCAGCAGTACTAGCTGTATTGGGCGATCTGGTTTCCAGAAAAGGGAGCTGTAACTGTGCCTCAGGAACGAACCTGCTTCAGGAAAGGGACTGTGCCCTCAGGAACGAACCTGCTCCCAGGAAAAGGGTTGTACCCTCATGAAAGCAAACCTTGAAGAGGTGCGGAATTCTCACAACTCGTGCTCAATTACATATGAAAACATATGTATTGTAGTGAGCAATATAAGCAACAGCAGTACCATCACCCAAGGGTGCAGTTCGGCTCAGTAAGGGACCAAATGTTACTCAACTAAGTTTGTAAAGGTCACTTTTGAAGACCTGTAAATTTCTGCGCCTCAATGGATTCCTTTGCATCAGTTCGCAAATTCACAGAAATTTGCAGATCTCACTGAATTGTGGTCTGCTATTTAACATAATCTACAAAAGGAAGTAGCGAAAGTGCCAAATTTTATTTTTCAGCAAGTACATACAAGGAATAAAAGATGATTCGAAAATTATTTAGAATCATGACTCTGATTGTGGCAGACAAAGAGTTTTCCGTACAAGGTTATCGGCAATTTTCTCGAACTGTTGTCTATCTTCTCTCCACATTTTAGCGGCGTTGACGTTTGCAGGAGATTCGTCATTCGGTTCTACAAAAATGATTCGCCCTTAGTATGAAGGTCATGTTAAAGTAGGGAACGTACCAGCTAACATACTAACAACACTGAGCAGAATCTTCTCAATTGACTGAACCGGACTCCATCTAAAACCGACAGTGATAAAAAGACATAGTTATGATTTGGAATGGTAATAAATCAAAAGGGAAGTTAGAAATAGCCCCGATCGTCGTCGCTCGGGCTCGTTACGTATTCACCACCACATTTTCCTGCGCGGGGATTGAATCAAATACGGTATTCGTTCATATTTCATGTGCATGGGAGTTATTGCAAGTGCTTTCTTCGTCATTGCCCTCTGCAGCGACTCCACTCCAATAAAGCAATGAATAGTTATTGAGTTAACTGAAATTTCCGCGCTGTTCGGCTTGGAAGGGACATGCTGCGTTTTCGCGCTTGGAAGAAACATTTTGCATTCCCGCTAGTTCATGCCAACTGACAGGTTTCATTTTGATGAAACATGTAAATTCTAGTGAAGACTTGGAATGGTACAACTGGGTCACTTCCCTCCCCCCTCACCCACACACACCAGGCCGATATATGGCGCCGGCATTTGAGTATATAAGCTCCACGTACCTTTCAGATGAACTTTCATACCCAGTCGGATCATCGCCAGGAGCATGCAGAATTGAAATGCATACTCGCCCATCTTGGTAGATATTGGGATGAAAAAGTTCACAAGTGAATCTGAACAGCAAGAAACATCGAAATAAGTTCGGAGTACACATTATACCTTACAAAATCCTACACCTCACCTCATTTTGGGCGGACTAAGAGGATAATCCTGAGGGAATGAGATTCGAGCAGGAAAACACCATTAGCAAAGCACGTATCCTCTGGACCAGTAATAAGACATTCCCATTCGAAAAAGTTATCTTCTTCTAGTGGTGCAGCGAGAATTCCCTCAGGTGGTCTATTCGTCAATTCTGAAAGCAGCAATGATGGATGAATTGTTGGTTGAGAACAAGTTTTTGGAAGTCCATTATGTCCCTATGGTCAGACTTAAGGACACAGTCGGCGGTGTTCGGATTCGGAAGAATCGGGAAATAGCTAGCGATTCATAGCCCTCATTGTGGCTTCTTGATTGGTGCCGCTCCTATAGTAGGTAAAGAGGAGGGTGCATTAATAAAACAGTGGGCTCAAACCAACACCCCTTTCTTCCACTTGGTTTACCACAAAATGTGTGTAATTTGGGGTGCTCATATAAACACTGTAAATTGTCGGATAAGACCTAGTCAGCAGGTTCATTGCAAAAATTTGCTTACAATCACAACCTCGAAATAACCTAGGCCCTCAAGTGGCCTCAAAGTAACCATGCATGTGGGTTTTAATGAGTTATAGCCTTGAACTACTGCTCCAAAATATTCGGGTGAAGAGGATGCAGCTACTACTCCATTTGAACTTGGCGGCGGATTGGTGGGACTTTTGAGACAACTAAAATCATATCTTTACCCACCACAAGACAGGATGAAGCTGCCTCGAACAGAAAAATCCTACGAAGAATACATCTGGCGCCATGCTCGAAGGAAGTACGTAGCCCCACCCCTCCATCTCCGGGACAGGGAGTGTACATTTAGACTGAGAATCCGGCTGCAGTTCATGTTATTGGCAAAATGGCCAGACAAAAGAGGGCAGGGCCGTCCTGGGGCGGGGACGGGGCTCAGAAGTGAGAGGGCCCACTGCTGTCCTGGAAAAGCAGTGTAGTGGGCGCTTTGGCGCAATAAACGCAAAAATCGCTATTGTGAAAAGAACCAAAAGCAGAGTTATTACCCGGCCTGAGTTTCCGTAATCTTTAAATTTGTTTTTCTTAACATCCCCAAGTAGGGAGCCCTAACCTAGTCATCGACGCATTTTCCAGGTTTGGGGGACAATCAGTATTCAATGAAACCGACACAGACAACCCTGCGAGGACCTGCAAGCTCTTCTGACTGATGTGGCTCACTGTAAATTTTCGCAGTTTCACAAGAGTTTACAGGTTGATATGAAGCGAGAGGAGCTAGCGAATTTGCAGAATGCCCCTTCCTGGCCGAGCAACGCCTAACAATCTGCTCTGGTGAACAGTTACCAGTTTTAGTCAAGTGCCTAGACCCACACGAACGGTTGCTTTAGACTGGTTCAAGCATTCGAGATCTAGTTTTGCTTACCTTTGTACTCTGTCATCAACCTCTTGAGCGCGTAACCTGCCATTTTGTAAATACGTCTGGGTTCTGAAACTGGCAGTACAGTCTATATCCTAGAGATGGAAAGGGCGTGGCTGCGTACTACATTTGAACATGGGTACGTGGCGCTTTTTGTGCGATATTTCCACTTCAGAGAACTAACTTCCATTTTTGGGTCGGTAAATACATGACTGCAATAAGTCCGATATGGCAACGTGCCAGCAGAAGCGCAATGGCCCCATGTCCAAGTGAAGCACGCAGCCACGCCCCCTCAACCAACTGGATATAAAGTGTACCTTTCTAAAAGAGAATCTTGAAGATTTTGCTCAAGTATCAAGGGTTTCAACCCCAAATCAGCACAAACTGCTCTCTTGGTAACTTCATTCAAGTACACGTGTACATACGTAATTAGACGACTAGAACATCAAACCTATCACAACTACACTACATTTGAATGCACCGGCAGAGAACGGGGCGAATTGGGCTCATTTCGATGCCGCAATAATAGAGTATGCTAGAGGTACGTCGTCTAGGTAAAACACTTATAATATTAGAAAATCACTAAAATTAGGCTAGCATTAAACACCGGTATGGGGCACTAGAGACTCATAACTACCGGTGAACGTGGCGATGCTAATGAACTAGTAAACACTGAGAACAATTCTGCACATAAATGCCAATCATTGTACTATCGTTGTAAGCATTCTTTAGAATGACTTGATGAAATTGATGAGGCCGTTTGTTGAAACGTCATGTGAGGTGACGTTGCCTTTGGAAATAAGTTCTGGTTGAATCACTTTGGCCAACTGCTTTCCAAGTTCAACTCTGAAAAGAGGTTCGTTCATAAAAGGCTTTCTGAAGCAGCGTTCAGACTTCGCAACCGCGCAACTGCGACCGGAGGCGCTCTACCGCCAAACGGTGCATCGCTGCAGCGGCACAATTTAAACTGGCACGCTGTGAATCCGGCCCTATTTCAATGCTGAAGCTGTGGAGGTGCACCGCTGGAGCGCGGTTAGCGGTGGAGCGCCCCTGGTCGTGGTCGCGCGACTCAATCAAGCGATCGGATCGCGAGGTCTGAACGCGGTTAACGCGCGTCTACGTGCTGTAACGAACATCGACGCGCCTTAAACCGTCTGCAACAGCGCTCCACTGCTATAGACGCGAACGCTGCCGGAAATCGATCAGTGCTGGCTGCTTGTGGATTGAGAAAGCAAGGGGCGGGGGAGGGGTAGAGTAACATTGCGCATGAGGGAATAAGAAGG